GTCAGTGTGCTATTACCAGAGCAATCCCAAGCACTCACGGGCTGACTATTCCTCCTACACCCATACTTGAATCCTGGATATAGGCTTTTTCCTCCCACACCTGTCACAGGCCAGGTAGGCGCTGTGAGTGTATCAGCCGTTAGGCTTCTGGGTTTGGGATCGAGGAGGCAAGTCGGGAGTGAAGTAAAGGCAAATTTACGTATAGCTTAGCATACAACAGTTAACAGAAAGGTTAATGTGACAGATAGTATAGTAATAAAGAGCTAACAGTGAATAATAACAACAGATAGACAGAATGACAAAGAGTTCCCACATGGGATTGGCAACTTATCAGCAGTCCCTCTATGCCAGGTGCACGCCAAGTTGTTCCAGTGAAGTCAGGCGTCCCCGATCAGTGCTGTCCGAGGGGTCACTGGGCAGGTCCCTTGGTCAGGATCCAGTGCTCGCTCACATTGGGAGTCCGGGGTCCAGGTTTAGTACAGCAATGGTCCTTCTGTCCCGTCCTTCTAACTGGTCACTTGACATGCGCGTTCCTTTATGCCTTATTTTATGCTAATCTGTTGGCTTTAGAGCCACTCACAATCTTGCCCTATAGCTGTTACCTTATGGGATCAAAAGGTGTTAGAAATTATCATGAAAGGTTACTGGCCAAACTCGGGTTCACCCAATAAGCAAATTACACCACATTACTTTGAGGTTTGAAATTAGCATGACTCTTCCCAAGCTCAACCCCTTGGTTTCTTATTCCCTGGATTCCTAGGAATGTGCTAATTATGTTAGGTGGTCAGATCTTGTTATGGCTGACCTTTAAAAAACCTCTTAGATCAGCTAATCTTGTAGTTCTGCTTATTTTTGGGGTCCATGATCAGTGCAAACAGTTAGATTCAACACTTTGGTTAAATTGTGACACACAAATTCCACTTGCAGTTGCAAACTTGCAAGCTTTGCATTAGCTACTCTTAACTTCTAAACAATTGCCTGGATGTCTCCAAGAGCATATATTTATTGCTCATGATGATAACCCCTCTGGTTCTGGCTACCACACACACCTGTGCTTGAATCCTGGATATAGGCTTGTGATAAAGATAGAGCATCCTTCTGTCACTACTCTTGACACCTCTTTCTCCAGTGTGATCACGAGTTCAACTCCAGAGCAATCCAAGTGGAGTGTGTGTTTGGGAGCGTAGGGTGTGCTCAGGCTTCCTAACTGGAGCAGGTTGTCACCACAGTGTAAACATATACGCCTTGTTGAGCATGTTTATTTTGCCATCCCTTTGAGATTCTGCCTAAGTGTAGCCAAGTTATATTGGCCTTTAAAAAGACGCAAGTTTCAGTTTCTTGGTAGAGACTTCCTAGAATTTAATAGCTAAAATCTCCAGAGTTCATCCCTGCTAGTGCAAAGAACAACCAGGCATATCCTAGCCCAAGGCTACAGGGAAGAAGCTGGACTTTACCTAAAAGAGCTGCTCTGGGCCAGGATGGGGCTTGGCACCAGAACCGCGAGCAGGAAAACTGCCTCTCAGGTGTTAGATGATGCTGGACCGTATAGAGGAGATAAACCACCATGTACAAATATAGAATGTGCAAGAATCTGACCTAGGTTATTATACAAAGGACTGGGCAAGAATGTGGAAGAAGAAAAAAGATCTGGCAAGGAGTCAGGGGACAGGGAAGCTTGTCTGACTGGTCAAAGAGACTTGAATGGAAACAAAGACCACTGACTTGTTGATCTGCTCAGGTCCCTTCTGACCATACCAACTATGAAACTATGACTCTCCCCATTTCTGTGCTGTCAGTAAATATCTGTAACATGTAGTGTGGGACCACATCGTATCGTACAAGGTACTATTGCTGTACACTTTTAACCTGAGTTGCAGAGAGTTGTGTGAATCTAAAGGTTCCAGTCTTGCTGATGAACTTTGTGACTGCTGATGTAATGCCAAGTAATAGAATTTGTATATAAAAAGTATTAGAGTATTACACGATATATCAGTTGCATATCAGATCAATACCAATGAAAGGAAAATTAACATTATCAGCTATTGGCATTTTTTTGGTTGATGTAGCTGATAATGCCACTGGTAAATATAATGTGCCTTCTGGCCAGGGCTCCCTGATGCTGCATGCATGCACGCAGCAGCCATACCCATGACCAGGAATGCAGCCAGCCAGTGTGGGGAGCAGCGCCCTGCAGGTAAGTCTGCGGAGCGAAAGGGGCGTGGGGGGGGCAGATTGAAGCCCTGTCAATCTGCTCCACCCCCAGATTGAGCAGGGAGTGAGCCAAGGCAGGGGCAGGTTTTGCCCAGCCAGGGTGGTGAATGGGATCCTGGGGCTGGAAGTGGGATGGAACCATGGGCGGCTTGTCCAGGGGGGGACAGGGAGGGAGGGTGGGTGGCAGTATTGGGAGGGGTGGCTGTGGGGGAAGGAATGGCAAATTTGGGGTGGCTATAGCGCTCCCAAAATCCCCACAACACTGCTTCTGCTTGGGACACTCCGCTTTGCTGCCTTTCCCTAGGGAGTCCTCTGCTGTGGGGTGGGCAGGGGATTCACAGTCAGCGCAGGGCTCCTGAGGGAAAAGGCAGCAGAGTGGAGTGCCCCAAGCAGAGGCGGCACTAGGGGAGCTTGGGGTGCTATATTCACCCAAAAATTCACCTTAGCCCCGCCGCCCCAGTCACCCCTTGCAGCACCGCCACCGCTGCCCATCCTGTGTAGATGAGCCTGCCCTGCTCCCACCCACTCCAAGCCCAGCCCCAGCCCAGTGCCCCCACTGGGAACAGGCTGGTGCTGCCCCTGGTCATGAGCCTACAGCGAGCAGCTCACCTCCACACCACACAAATTCAGGGGACATATATACCTCCTGATTCCTCTCCTGGGGGGGTGCATGTAGGGCTGGTGTGCCACCCCTCCTCTCCACCCTCCCCATGCCCCCTGGACAAGCCACCCACAGCTTTGTCCTGCTCCCTGCTCTGGCTCTGGGGTCCCATTCAATGCCCTGGCTGAGCTACACCCCTAGCTCCACTCACTCCCTCACCGTGGGGGCCTTGATCTTCCCCCCCTTTTCTTAATAATTGGCTATTGGTATCAGCCAGGAAAATCTTTATCAGTGCACCCCTAAAAAGTATAACACAGTATTGAAGTGGGGTTGCACTGAAGAGGAAGGTGAGAAATTCAGTGGCTAACGTGGTACCTAGAAAACCTTTACATATATTACAACTCAGATATGGGAAGTCAGGTGCTATACATGAGGGGGTTAAACATATTTTATATTAGTCTGAGTTCCGTGCTGATTGAACATAATAATATGGATTTTAAGAAGGCAATAGGCTGGTTGTAATTAGGCAGC